TTTATTATAATTGAATATTAATTAATTATATATATAATTTATATTAATTAATAAAAAATGAAGATCTCCACAGGAAACAAAAATGGGGACAAAATCTGCTCTCATTAAAAATTTTTGCGGGGATCTCTATCCCTACAAATGGACAAAAACGATGAAGAACTTTCTCTAACTCGCAAGACCCTTCTCTAACTCGCAAGACCCTGCTAACATCCCTAAACATAAGGGACAAAAAATACCAAAATCTTAACACCAATATTAGCATATTCCGTAAAATAATCCAGGTAATGATAAGTAGAAAATCTATGTGTACAGCACTTATATAAAACTTTAAAATACCTTTAAATAAATAAAGCATTTTTTAACATGTATAATAAGATATAAATTAAGAGTCTTAAATAAATAAAAAATAATATTTAATTTATAAATTATCTAATTAAATTTATTTATGAATATTTATTTTTATATTTTATATAAATTTATTAAAAAAAAATCCTTAACTTGTATTATATTAGAAAAATCTATTTTTCAACTAATCCTTACCTCGTGAGCATTAAATTCCACGTGCAACTGGCTCCATCCGATGTGGCGTAATTAAGGTTGTCCGTTTAACAAGGGACCGACGGCTGCTCACTAGGCCTTCCTACACCGAATCTCACGCTAGCCGTTGATCGTCCGTAATAATTACTGTCCGAAAGAGCCAAGGATTGTCTCCTCTGATTGGCTGGTCGCCCCCGATTCGATAAACCTCCACCGCTGCCTCCGCGCGTGCATCAACTCCCCCAATCATTTCTCTGAAGCAGCCAGATCTACAATTCACTCTCCTCATCGGCGCGTGGGTCAGAATCTCGCTTTCCTTTCACTTTCCCTCTCTGCTTTGTCAAATCGGCACCTCGACCATCACAACCGTATATGGAGGAAAAATAGAGGAGAGAGAAGAAGAGCAAAGTTGCAGTCTTTGTGGATAGAGAAATGAATACGTATGTCAACCGTATTTAACTGACCGTTCCTGCGCTGTGCACGTTAGCAATTCCGACGACGTCACCGGGAAACTCTGAATCGGTTGGGACGTCATGGCCGAGTTGACTCAGGCAGATGTGTACTCGCCTCGGTCGATGCAAGTGTGGAGAACACTCCTCAACTGGCTCGCTTTCTTCTTCCAGATCTTCACCCAGATCATCAGAGTGGTGGGTCACCATCCGCTCCTCTCTTCCGCCTCGTCTTCTTCATCTTCCTCGACGCACCGTTTCAGGCCCTTGCCTGTCGTCGACTCTCCGGAGATCGAGTCTCCTTCGGCGATTGAGATCGCCGCCGTTTGTGACTCCGCCACTGTTGCCGAGGAACGAATCGAGAAACTCACGGTACGGATGGAATTTGAAATTTTTCCCATTTGTTACGGGATTGAAAAAGTGATTTGTTCGGGGTGTTCTCTTTTGGGGTTGTGTTTGGATGGAGAAATTTTTTTTCCTTTCTTTTCTTTTGAACTCTGGTTGTTTATGGATAAAAATGGTTGCTTTGATTGGTGTTTTAGCCGTTTCTGTTTGAAATTATGGGCAATTTAGGGGAGGGTAAAGAATTTAGCTTTCTTTGAGAATCCATGAGAAATGTTTAATTACATTAGGTACTTAGCTTAACTTTATTAGCGTACTTAGCTTAACTTTATTAGCTATGACTATGAACTCAAATTCGTGAAACTATGTGACTTGGTGTGGGAGGCACCCAAACAGTTCCTTTAGCTTTGCATAGACTTCAAATTTCAATTCTTTTGCTTTCATAGAAATTCCATAGGCAAAGAGAGGGTTTTGTTGAAGGTACAGCTAAATGCTAATTAACTTTCTTGGTGTATGCTTGGGGAAATATAGAGATTATGAATAGTGGACAATGGACTAGATTTTATTTCTTTGCTAGGATGACATTAATAGAAACACAGAATTTGTAATCTCTTGTCCCTTTCAGGGGTAAAATACTTTTCTTTTGCCATGATACAATTTTCTGTTAGTCTTTGCTGAATCAACCTCATATAAACCATCAATTGTGTATCTTAAACGGTAAGACTGCTGAGAATCGAAATCAGTAATATAAATATAATAACAAAATATATTAGGTCTTGGTCTGCAACTTTTTACTATCCCTTCCCTTGTACCTGATATTTGGATGTGGAAGTTTTGTTAATAAGCATAAAGATCTTAAACCAAAGGCATGTCAACCTTGATTGCATAAGGTGGGGGTGTTATAAACATTTCCATCAACATTTTCCAACCATTGCTTGCAAATATTTTGAGCTGGGTCTAAGACAAGCATCTGCAGGTAGTTCTTGACTTGGATGAAACTCTAGTATGTGCATATGAGACCTCTAGTCTGCCTCCAGCTCTTCGTAATCAAGCAATGGAAGCTGGATTGAATTGGTTTGAACTTGAATGTGTCTCTTCAGACAAGGTTCCTTACACATTGTTTTGATTTTTTTATTTAAGTTGTTTGTATTTACTGTGAGGAACTATAATGCTTATATATAAGTTGATTTTGCATATTGACTGTTGAAGGAATTTGAAGGGAAACCTAAGATCAATTATGTTACTGTCTTTGAACGTCCTGGCTTACAAGAATTCTTGAAGCAACTCAGTGAATTTGCTGATCTTGTACTTTTTACTGCTGGGCTTGAAGGTTTGCTTATTACTTCATCTTGCTGCGTGTTTATCATTCTGTTTCTTCTAACTTTAACCCTTCTTAGGCTTAATTTGTTCATTTTATATCATCTTTTGTGTGTGCATAGGCTATGCTAGCCCCCTTGTTGATAGAATAGATATGGAAAATCGATTTAGTCTTAGACTTTATCGACCTTCAACAATCAGTACGTAAGTAGTCCTTCCTCTGATCCTGAGCTTTTCAGTTATCTGTATTTAGTAACTGCATTTTTTCTATGGCAATAGATGAATTTCCACTTGAGATTAATTCCTTTGCTCATTTGGTACAAACCCTCTTGCTGATATAAACAGGGAGTATAGGGAACATGTGAAGGATCTGTCATGCATATCAAAGGATTTATGCCGAACTGTTATTGTAGACAACAACCCTTTTAGTTTCTTGTTGCAACCTGTAAATGGAATTCCGTGCATTCCATTTTCTGCAGGGCAGCCACATGATACTCAGGTACTTAGGGTTTACATTATCTAATCTATGTTTTTTCCAACATTTTGGGTTATTTACTTACCATCCTTACATCTGTTTTTCTTGTGTCAATAAGCTTCTGGATGTCCTCCTTCCACTCCTCCAGCACCTCTCTCAGCAGAAAGATGTAAGGTCTGTTCTGTATGAAAGGTTCCACATGCCTGAATGGTTTCAAAAACAGGGTATCCCTGCTTCTGGTTGGACAGTGTAGGACAAGATTTAGGCGCAGTCTGCAATTCTCCCGTTCTGTGTACAATTACAGTCAGCACCAGCTTTGTTGCTGAGATGCAGCATTCTTGACCTTTTGTATAGCATTTGCATTATGAAGTCGCCAATGAAAGCTCGCAAAGATTTACAAAAGGATTTATCTGCTCTAACACCTGTTCCAACATCCAATAGGCCAAAACATTATATGTATTAGGTCCATAAAGATTCTTGATTTTTAATATAATTTTGTTCATAAACGTGCAATCCTGTTTGTCGTTAATGTTATCCTCCCAGATCTACTTTATCTCTTCTCAATGGATGCTGAATAGTTGGTCCTGTTTGGCACTTGAATAGTCAATGCTCACTGCTTAGCAATTAACATATCCTTTACTCCTTAACTTCCACCAGGCAGAAGCAGCTGAAGCGCCAAACTTGGTGGCCTATGGACATGCCGGGACCAGGGAGTACAGCCACCAACCCCAGTTGGGGGTATGAAGAGGCTATTATTTACTTATTGATTATTTATTTATTTTTTTTAAAAAAAAGGGGGTTAAAGGGTTAAAGGTTTATTAGAAGAGTACAGGACTTTCCAGTTCTGCACATCCAAAAAGGGCAGTCCAAGGCATCCTTATCTCTAAACACATACACTCATACCGTGACAACAGGCAACAGGGTTTCTGTTCCTGCCCAATCCCCCTTGAAAAGGACACATGAAGCTTGTAAAGAAGATGGACAACCATGTATAGATCAGATTCCTGTGTCATTTAAAATCAGAGGTTTAACAATTAAAATATCCTGGCATAACTAGTTTACTTAGTAACAGCTCCTAATTAAGTCTGAATTTTCCTAAACCTTTCAAGAGGATGGTGTGGAGTCAAGCTGTCACGCATGAGGTAGATTAGGGTCAGGTTTGGTAGTACAGAATCAATAGGGTTCATTTTACCAATTAAAAGCTGGGG